TGGACACATAATAAGGAAGGTGGGCTTTGAGAATTTGACACCCGCAGGACATATCGAAAGAAAAATGGAGCAGCATTCTACCTATCTGATCAGTTTGTACGAATAGATGGCAGAACGAGGTGGATGTTGCAAGGGATGGCAAAAAGGCAAACGTTAACTAAGAGCTATAAGGGATAGGAAGTTGTGGCGCGCCATGATTGCCAACGGCCTGAAATTCCACTTTAAATCCAACCAGCAGCCCAAACACACATGTATTGTCGATCATGTTTTTTAATTTTATATTAATCATATGGTCATAAATTTCTCTCAAACTATTGTGAACATAAACTTAAAGCATTGTATAACTCTCATCTTTAGGAACTTAACATAAAACATAACATAGGGCTCATCTTTTGGAACTTAAAACATTATTTAGCTCTCATCTTTAGTAACTTAAAACGTTATATATCTCTTATATTTAGGAACTTAAAACATTATATAGCTCCTATCTATAGGATCTTAAGGCATTGTCTCGCTCTTATCTTTAGGAACTTAACTTAAAACATTATATAGCGCTTATCTTTTCGAACTTAAAACATTATATACCGCTCATTTTTAAGAAGTTAACACATTATACAGCTCTTACCTTTAGGAAATTAACTTAAAACATTATATAGATCTCATCTTTAGTAACTTAAGTTTAAACATTACACAGCTCTCATTTTTATGAACTTAAAATAGTATGTAGCTTTCATCTTCAAGAACTAAACTTAAAACATTATTTAGCACTCATCTTTAGAAACTTAAAACTTTATATAGGTCTCATCTTTAGTACTTTAACTTAAAACATTATATAGCTCCCATTCTTAGGAACTTAAAATATTATATAAGTCTCATCTTTAGTAACTTAACTTAAAACACTATATAGCGCTCATCTTTAGGAAGATAAAACATTATATAGCTCTCATCACTGGGAATTTAAATCATTATATAGATCTCATCTATAGGAACTTTAAACATTATATAGCAATAATATTTAGGAACTTAACATTAAACATTATATAGCGCTCATCTTTATGAACTTAAAACCTTATATAAGTCTCATCTTTAGGAATTTAAAACATTATATAGGTCTCATCTTTAGGAATTTATTTTAAACATTATATAGCTCTCATCTTTAGGAAGTTAAAATATTATATAGGTCTCATCTTTAGTAACTTAAAACATTATATAGCTCTCATCTTTAGGGACTTAAAATATTATATAAGTCTCATCATTAGTAACTTAACTTAAAACATTATATAGCTCTCATCTTTAGGGACTTAAAATATTATATAAGTCTCATCATTAGTAACTTAACTTAAAACATTATATAGCTCTCATCTTTAGGAACTTAACTTTAAACATTATATAGCTCTCATCTTTAGGGACTTAAAATATTATCTAGGTCTCATCTTTAGGAACTTTAAATATTATATAGCTCACATCATTAGTAATTTAAAATATTATATAGGTCTCATCTTTAGTAACTTAAATTAAAACAATATATAGCACTCATCTTTAGGAAGTTAAAATATATAGCTCTCATCTTCAAGCACTTAACTTTAAACATTATATAGCTATCATGTTTAGGAACTTAATATATTATATAGGTCTCATCCTTACTAACTTAAAACATTATATAGCACTCATCTTTAGGAACTTAAAATATATAGGTCTCATCATTAGGGACTTTAAACATTATATAGCTCACATCATTAATAACTTAAAATTTTATATACGTCTCATCTTTAGTAACTTAAAACATATAGTGCTCATCTTTAGGAACTTAAAATATTATATAGCTGTCATCTTCAAAAACTTATCTTTAAACATTATATAGCTCTCATCTTTAGGAACTTTAACCATTATATAGCTCTAATCTTTAGGAACTTAAAACATTATGTAGGTCACATCTTCAACATGACAAAAATGACAGATGCCTTTATTTATTTTGTATAAGTTCAACAGTGATCATAATGCTACTCAGCCTGACGCGAACATTAACAGAGCACAGAAAATCTCTCCCTCACTCTCTCTATCTATCTGTCTCTCTCTGCATATATATATATATATATATATATATATATATATATATAACGTATTCTAACCTAAACACCCCCCTAAAAATCTTTAAATATACAAATAGAAAAAAAATGCCGTAAGAATTTTTGCCGTTAACAATAAATTTTTTTTTTTAATATCCAGACGACATGCATTTAACGGATGTTAGATTTCATTGAAAGATACATCCCTACCCCCTACCAAAGCGTAACTAATAACGGATACATCAAAATACAGACATAAAGAACACGCAGACACCCCTTGTCTAGTGGAAGTGGATTTATCTGTAACGTTGGAACCGTGAATTATGATTTTAGCTGTGACTTTAAAACCTAGTAATTTTAAAAGTTACTCCAAAATTCGCTTGCGGATGAAATAGAACTAATGTCTTTAATTTAATTACAAAATTAAATTCGTAGCTTTTAGATTCCATTTTTGAAACATGGCTAGAACTGTGTAGCGAAAAAAACATATTTTAAATCAATTAATTTATAATACATATATATATATATATATATATGTATTATAAATATATATATATATATATATATATATATATATATATCATCTTCATTATCTATGTATCTATCACAACCACCTCATTATCATGCCATTCTATTCGTATTTATCTATCTATCTATTTATCTATCTGTTTCAGTCTGTTATCTCTTAGATTATTCGGAAAATAATGTCCGATTTTATATATGATCTGATAATAGTTGCGCAAAAATCCATTAGTCATTCCTCACGCTTGCACTGACCTGTTTGTTAATTGTATATCAATCGCCTTCCGAATTTTGTCCTCAAATACTTGACGCACCCGGTGTTTACACTGGAAAATAGTATTAGGTCATTCAAAAATAATGTCCGATTTCAGAATAAACATTTTGCTTCTTTGTACATTTCTATAACAGTTGCACGAAAATATCTTAGTCATTCCTAATTATTAAAGTGTCCTCTTTGTTAATTGTATATTAATGACTTTCAGAATTTAATTTTAACATTATATACACCTCAACTTGAACATGACAAAACGAAGAGAAGCTCTTGACTTTTTTTTTTTTTTTTTTTTTTTGCTTGAGTTCAAACTTGGTTATAATTCTTTTCAAACTACTGCCAACATCAACAGAGCATCCGCATAGTGATCGGACAATACGTCATTCGTTTCTCTAATTCCGCAGTGCGGTTACGAGTCTTGAAGTTCAAAGCAGTAGGGGACGTCAAGATGTTGCCAAAATGGCGCCGCAGAAGTTCATCTACTTGGAATACGACTTATAGTAATTTTTTAAAAAGTTTCTGGGTATTTCGCCGACATACAGGGTGGTCCGAAAATCTTGTTACCCCTACCAAAAAAAAAAAAAAAAAAAAAAAAAAAAAGTCATGAAAACAATCGAAGAACAAATAATACAGTAATACAAAGCACATCTACTGGATTCAGTTTATTCACTTTCATTGGCGCACATCGAGAAGGTCTGTATGAAGACCATCATTTTCGTGTCAGCCATCTGAAATAGAATATTATACTATGTAGGAGTAACAAGACTTTCGAACCACCTTGGGTATTTTGAGATATCTATTTTGAATATATACCTGCATCTGTCGTGTTGCTATCTCGTTTGATGCTAACTATAACACTTTATTGTCTTTGTCATATAGGAAGAAAATGAGTGACTACTGACACCGGGGTTCGAGCGTGACACTCTGGACTTGCTGCCCCTCCTTGGAGGGGTGTACGCGCATTATTTATCATCTCTAACTTACGTCTCTGTCCTTGGACAGAGTGCGCACAGGGGCTTCTCTGTCAAAGGACAGAGGGGCAACTAAGGAAAATTATACTGAAGAGGTGCCCAGCCCTGGGGAACAGCTGCCCGAGGCCGCGCCCTCCCATTGCACAAGAGGGAGGGATCGGTGCTCGCACAGACGCCAGAGCAACCGACGGTTGCCGGGGCTGAGGGGAATTTTTGTCCCTGCCCGAGTGTACGCGCTCGGGTCCCCACATTAATCCGACCTTGTGTCACATCTCATTCTCGGGGAGGAATGAGTATACACCGTGACACTCTGGACTTATGATTATATGTTTTCCGCTAGGTCTTTAAATAGCGGTGTCAGGCTACTGACTGGAGTGATTATTGAGTGACTATTGAGTGGAACTATCCAGTCGAATTAGTGTGAATTATTGAGCGTCGATGATTTGGCTTTTCATTTAGGATTTACCGGACGTTAAGCCGAGCTGCTCTACTAACAAGATATTCACTGAAATGGTTAATTATCTCTCCTTGACTTTTAGTCTCTTTTAAGTATTTATTTGCGGTTGTAATTAAAAAAGAAAACAGATAAAACAACTCCGGAAATAAAAAAAAAAATAAAATTTTAAGAGAGTGTACACTCTCTCTAATTTTTTTTTTTTCAATTTGTAGGTCTGATGAATTGGATCGTATTTACGATTCCATTGGAATAAATTATGACCATAGAATATTAGTGTTTAAGCCTCTTTTTATTATATATATATATAAGTTATGAAAAACTTGGTACATATATATATATATATATATATATATATATATATATATATATATATACAAAGAACGTGTGTATATTTCATTTAATACTCCACCGATACATTTCCAATACACTCTCTCTCTCCGCTCTCCCTCTTAAACGTATCCACACAAAGGCTTTGTATCTAGACATCTCTCTCGTGTTGTTTCACTTTCCCTCTCTCTCTCTCTCTTTCCCGTACATACACATATGCTCACAAAGATTTACGTCTCTCTATCCCTCTTTCTCTCTCTCAAACACACACACAAACGTTTTACATCTCTTTGATTCTCTCTCTTTCTCTTAGACATATATGAAAACAAAAACCTCTCTCTCTCTCTCTCTCTCTCTCTCACTCTTACACACACACATCCGCACAAATGCTTTGCAACTCTTCATCTCTTTCGTTCTCTATCACTCTCTTTTTCACTCCCTCTCTTACATACACATATGATGACAAAAACTTTACCTCTCTCTCTCTCTCTCTCTCTCTCTCTCTCTCTCTCAAACACATACACAGACACGCATACGTAGAAAGGTTTTGCATCTTTTCATCTCTCTTTTGTTCTCTCTCTTTCTGTTTCTCTCTCTCTCTCTATCTATCTATCTCAGTCTGGTCACTATCTATCTATCTATCTATCTATCTATCTATCTATCTATCTATCTCAGTCTGCTCACTATCTATCTATCTATCTATCTATCTATCTATCTATCTATCACATATACACAAAGAATTTACGTCTCTCCTTTACACACGCATCCACACAAAGGTTTTGCATCTCTTTTCTCTCTCTCTCGCTCTCTCTCGCTCTCTCTCTCTCTCTCTCTCTATATATATATATATATATATATATATATATATATCTTTTACACAAAGACTTTACGTCTTTCTCCTTTATACACAAAGGCTCTTTCGTCTCCTCATCTTTCTTTCGTTCTTTCTCACTCTAACTCTATCTATCTATCTATCTATCTATCTATCTATCTATCTATCTATTAGATACACATATACAAAAGAAGTTTACGTCTCTCTCCTTTACACACACCATCCATACAAAGGCTTTGCGTCTCCTCATCTCTCTTTCGTTCTCTCTCTCTCTCTCTCTCTCTCTCTCTCTCTATCTATCTATCTATCTATCTTTTAGACACACATACACGAAAGAAGATATGTCTCTCTCCTTTACACACACCATCCATACAAAGTCTTTGCGTCTCCTCATCTCTCTTTCATTCTATCTATCTATCTATCTATCTATCTATCTATCTATCTATCTATCTATCTATTAGACACACATATACACAAATAAGTTTACGTCTCTCTTCTTTACACACACCATCCAAACGAAGTCTTTGCATCTCTTCATCTCTCTCTCATTCTCTCTCTCTCTCTCTAACATACACATATTCTGACAAAGACTTTACGTCTCTCTCTCTCTCTTTCTTTATTTCTCTCTCTTCTTTCAGACATGCATCAACACAAAGGCTTTACATCTGATTATCTATCTCTCTGCTTGTGTTCCACATATGCACACAAAGATGTTACATCTCTTTATCTTTTTCTGCCTCTTGTTCTCACTTTCTATCACCCGTACACCCACACAGACATTATGTCAATCACTGTTTCCTGTCCAAATAAACTGACAAGTATAAACAAATTCCAATGGCTTTTGTTTGTACAAAGGCGGTTACGATTTCCACACTTGAATCTGTAATGAAAACAAAACAGCCTCTCTCGGATAATGGCTTCGCTTTTCTTAAAGTCGTTTCTTTATGGTATCCTTCTTTAACGAGCAACAGAATTACGCTTACTTGTGGAAACAAAACTGCCTGCGCATGTGCACGCTAAAAAAAAAAAAAAAATACACCTCCTTATAAATATTGATAAACGGAGTTCTCAAACAGTGACAACGGCTTACTTTTTTTCTTTCTTTTTTTAATGAAATAAAATAAAAATAATCAGTTCTCCTTAGAAACATTGGCGCAAGTTTTATTTAATTTTATTCAATTTTCTCTTTCTTGCAAAAAGAAGAAGGAAAACCTTGTTAAAACTATTTGTCTACGTTAAATTACTTTTCGTTCATGCGTAACCAGGCGTTAAAACATGTCTAATGTTATGTTAGTAGCGTCGGATAAGAATACGGGAGTAACTTTTTCATACGTCAAATAATTCTTTATTCGCTTCTAAACCCTGTCAAGTCTATGGAATTTAAAAAGTTGCATGTCTATATGCATTTTTAATTCTACTGCTTGCTCACATATGATAAACAAAGAAATATACAGCAACTTGGATTTCTACTAAGGATTGTTTTGTTTTTTCTTTTTTATGGTAACTAAACTAAAATGATTCAGAAACTATTTTTCTTGGCGCATTTTCGGAATGAAAATTTGCTTTCGCCTCACAAAATTTTATGTGATAAAAAGTACATTAAAAATTAAAAAAAAAAGGAAAAAAAAAAAAAAAAAAAAAACAAAGAGAGTGTTAAAGGGAGATAATAAGAATTCGAAGTTAAAATTTTATTATTGATAACTTTCTTCGCTTTTGCAGACCATAGTTACTGTATTTTAATACCTGATGTAATGCAAAAATATCACGATAATTTTGACATATCACATATGATAAACAAAGAAATATACAGCAACTTGGATTTCTACTAAGGATTGTTTTGTTTTTCTTTTTATGGTAACTGTACTGTAGTGATTCCGAAACTATTTTTTCTGGGCCGCATTTTCGGAATGAAAATTTGCTTTCGCCTCACCAAATTTTATGTGATAAAAAGTACATTTAAAAATTAAAAAAAAACAAAAAAAAAAACAAAAAAAAAAAAGAGAGTGTTAAAGGGAGATAACCGCGAATTCGAAGTTAAAATATTATTATTGATAACTCTCTTCGCCAATTTGCAGACCATAGTTACTGTATTCTTAATACCTGATGTAATGCAAAAATATCACGATAATAAAACCGGTCAATAATTATTTATAACTATTTATACTGGGACTCATGCATGCAGTTACCAGTAATCCATAATAATATTTTGAAATTATCTTTATTTTTGGCATATGGATGTTTTGGAAACTGTTTCTAAATCTTTGATTGTCTTTCAATCATTCCGCCTCACCTGCTGTCTTCTTCCGCCTCACCTGCTATCCTCTTCCGCCTCACCTCCTATACTCTTCCGCCACGCCTACTATACTCTTCCGCCACGCCTACTATACTCTTCCGCCTCACCTGCTATCCTCTTCAGCTGCACCTATAAGGCGCCTCGTGCCGTTTGGGAGACACTGCAGTGAAACAAAATTCTTAATGTCTCTTATATATCATTTTCTTTTTGGTCCATGAGTTAAGGTAAGTATGTATAAGCATTGTATTAATGGGCGAGCACAAGTCAGCCTTGCGCAGATTTGAAACAACCAAACGAAGGTGTGTCTTTTCATAGATTTCAACAGCGCCACCTAACGGCGCTTGACGAACAAAATTGGGATATTTCCGGTTCTTTTACTTTAGCATCATGGCTAATATCGGCCATTTATACAACTCTCTGATATCCGGTTTTCTTCTTCAGATGGGTGTTGTTAGTTGTTGGTTGGTTATTTTATTTAGCGGCATACCATTATTGGTTGGTTATTCCATTATTGGCTGGTTATTTTATTCAGCGACATACCAACCCACTATCGGTTATTCAATGCCGAAATCTAAATATTTTGTAGGTCATTTTATTTTTTGTGATAATAATGGTCTAGTGATACAAGTTTTACTAATTAGACCAGTAACTGGAGGTATGGAGAGATGGATTCATACCTTTCTCAAGGGTATTTGCGCGTAAGTGAATATAACGAATTCAACTAGAACTCGGCTGTCCGATTAACAATTCCAAAAGAGTATCCATTACACCACCCGCACATCCAAGCTTACAGCACCTAGGATTCCCAAGCGCTCACTCTTCTAGGCTCTGACCAAGCTCGACGTTGCTTAATTTCGGTGATTGTACGAGAACCAGTGTGTCAACGGAGACCTCACTGCTCATACTTGACTTGAATTCAAAAGAGATTACACACCCTTGTGGAGCATCAGTTATTTCCATCCTGCAACCCCTTTCTTACAAACAAAAAGAACTACTTTCTTGCTATTTCCATGGCAAACGATCTTAGACGTTAATTCCAGACCTTCACAGATAAGACCAACGGCGTAAAATCATTTTCATCCCTTTCGTATTCCTTTGGTAAGGGAGAGATTACCACTCAGAAAGCTTCTTCTTCCCGGAACTGTTACTTTGGGGAACCGACTGATGACAGGATGCTTCCCCCGACAACTACAATCATGACCTCCTCAGGTCAACCGTTATCTATCCTACATATCCTCATCATTTGTTATTCTTAACTCTCCTCTCCGACGTTCATAAAACAATCAGTAATCCTCTAACTTGGGCCTTGTATTGGCTGAACAACAGTATAAAAACATAACGCGGAATCACTCCATTTTCTTTCCGAAGAAATAGTATCAATTCACAAAGTAAATGAATCTGTGTAGAACTCGTGTTCGCGTACATTCTGAAAGGACGGATATTAAATGTTGCGTTCTGTGTCGTCTCGGGATTCCCACGCTACTTATAAAACGGTATCAAGGAAAAGAGTTATTTATTTTTTATATTCGTTTTATTAAGTGTGGCAGCTTGGATTCTAAAAAGCAGTAGGAGGACTAACGCCACTCGAATGCGTGTCGGTGATATTAGCCGGTCGCATAATTAGGTGTGGGAAGCATATTGGCGCTTCAGAATTCTTGAGACCATATGTTAAATTCGCGCCGTTTTGAAATTATTATTCAAAACCCAGACAAAGGCAATCCATCCCTGTCAGAATGCCCCGTCCTCGAGCCCCTCCGGCCAATTGCTGATTATGCTGGCCTTGGCCTTCGCATTCTGTAACAAACAGAAATACGGTTATTGTTCTGAATCTATATTTTAAATAGCAGAGTACACTGGGCTACTCAACCTTGGGTGGCTGTCTGTCTAGGAGTGAATTTGAGACCCAACAGACGTTCATACAGTCTCATTGAGAGAAGAACCGTTCATGGCAACATAAGAAAACTTCAGTCATATACGCGTGTGTGTATGCGTTATTTCAACTATAAATTTCATTAGAGACGTGAAGAAAACAGGAAGTTGTAGAGAGCCATGACCGTCCACGCCGTGATGTTGCATGACGCACATAAATGAAACTGAACTATGTAATTCTTTTGGGAATCCCAACGAATCCTATGGCTAGTACAAAGTTGCACATATGAACAGCTTTATTCTACTACCATGTTAGACTGTGTAATTATTCTTGGTATGCCAGTAATATGGTAATGGTAATATTAACCGTTTCCCTATAAGGAAACATTTTGTATTCATTGACTAAGCAGCTTTCGGTTGATTTTTTATGAAATTGTTCCCTTAGGACAATTTTTCAGGAAAAGAGGTTTCTTAAGTCCAGTAATTGTTATTGTGTTTTCCAGTATCGATGGGGTGTGGGTCCTTTCTAACCTTTTATTTCAAACCGTGAGTAATGTCAACATCTTTATTATGCCATTATTTTCTCTTCGAGTTACATGTAACATCCATTTTCGTTGTTGCTGCTGTTGGTAGACCTCAAGTAATGGGATTTCTGTTATCTGCTACAGTTCTTTGTGATCCTGTAGCGCCAGTCCCCAATGTTCCAAGAAGAAGGAAATTTGTCAAGATTCTCAGGCTTCACCCGCTCTAAACATTTTTTTTAACCATTGATCTTAGAAAACGGTTGTATATAACTGACAGTTTAGATATTTCTGAACGGGTTTCCCGCCATGCTTGAACGAGAAATATCTCGATCTGACAGAGCTGTTTAAGCACATGACTGGAGTTTTCTGGTTGATTTTTTAGTTTTGTAGCAATTTGCTACACCTTGCAAAACTACCTCGGGCGCAGCCTATTCCATGTTAAATTTCTTTTTCTCACTTACTATATTTGTTAAACGTGAGTCCAAGAGGACGTAGCGTGTTGTTCTCCCGGGGTTTCGCATCGGGTTGTTTGTGATTATTAAATAAAAGAGGTTTTTTTTTTTTCTTTTTGGAGGCGTTAAAATTTAAAAGCCATTTCTTGCCCCAGTTAACCACTTATTTCAGGTCCTTTCTTTTCTTCTCAAGAGCAGTTGCCATGTTTACTTTGTCAAATCTGTCGGATTTGCTACTGAGACAGGAGTAAATGGCAGTGTCACCTGCATAAATGCCTAATTGAGAACAGATGACGTCGAGATCATCGTAAAAACAGTCAAAT